TTTTTTTGTTCTTGTCCTCTGGGATCGTAAAAGTAGATTAATGCTAGACTTGGGCAATAAAAGGCGCCGCTATATTAATTTATTAATTAATCTGCACCCGCCCCTCCTCCTGAATGTTAAGCATGACCTTTGATCTCTCTGTCTTTGCCAGAGCAGACATGCAATATAATGAGTAGACTTGCTCAGCACCTCTTCTCTTGAATCTGGTTGTGCCTGTATCTCTTCCTATTTTTTTGTTAGTCTCTGGGCTTAGAGATGTGCTAAAAGTTCCATTAATGGAGCGGTGCTTTCTTCAGCTCTTCTAAAAATAACAAAGCAAACACAGCTTGTTAAATGAAGTCTTCTCTTTGCTAGGTTTAAAAACAGCTTCTGATCAGCTCTCTTCCACACCCGGAAGAGGAGGCAGGCCAAAGCAGACAAGTCTCTTAGCAAAATGTATTTTAGTACAATCAGTTGTTGCTGTGCTACCTCTAATTTCATGGCATCATTCTGCAACCCTGATGGCCGCAAAATGTGTACATGTGTTAAAGGCTCAGCTGAGATGCCATCATTGGACTACTTGCAAACAATCTACTTTATAGATGCTTTTGAAGGGTAAGCAGTCTGAGCCTCTTAAGGCAGAGGACTGGTAATCTGGAAGCTGTTCATAACTTGCTAGTAAGGATGAATCCTCTTACTTCCTTGACTTCCTGTCTGTCTTTTTTTTTTTTTTTTTTTTTTTTTGCCATATGCAAATCCTTCGCATCCCTCCACAAGACGACGCTTAGCCTAGAGCTTTCCGGGGCAGCCTTTGTATTGCCACCATTTTTTTTTTTTTTTTTTTTTTTTTTTTTTTTTTGCCATACTGTAGGTACTAGATACCGCAGTGGCCCTGAACCAAACAGCGGAACCAAACTTGCTCATCCTGGAGGAGATGTTTACGAAGCAGACAGACTACCTGCATGTTATCCAGAAACTGCAAGGCCTCTTGGATGACCTGGTCAGGCAAACAACTGAGATCCCCTTTTGGAAGAATGAAGAGCTGTCTCTGGAGGAGCTGGCAATTCAGATTGACCTCTATGACTGGTACAGGTGTGTAGCATCCATTTTGGCCTGTTTTGCAACAGTGATGTGCATGCTCTAGGGGGCTGAGCCAAAGGCTATATATATGACTGCAGGTGTTCATGGCCCACCCAGCTGATTTGTTTCTCACAGCAAAATTGCATTCAGTTTAAATCAAAATGCATGGCAACAACTTTTTTCTTAACTGTGTTTACCACCAGCTGAAGGGAAACTTACTCTCAATGTACGAAATCTGTAGCTTGTGTTCTAACAGGGAGGGGAAAAAAACAGCCACAGATATAGCTACTCTTGTGTCCTAATAGGTGCATTGTAGTTGTATGATACATTAACTAAATAGAGTGGAAAACTGAACTAGTTTCATATGTCAACACCATACCCTAACATTCCTTTTTATTAAAGTTCTTTGATAAAAGGTTGCATCCAATGTATTCCACAAAAGAAAACCTCTATCCACACATGTGGAATAACTGAAGTGTTTTCGAACAAATGTCTAGGAAGTTCAAGAAGCTGCAATGCCTGATGGTGTCCAGTTGTGTTCTCAACAATTGTGTATGCTGGGCGTGTTGTGTAAATGCTTTTACCTGCCTTGGCTCCAGATCCAGCAAATATCCAGAGCTCTCTGGAGATTAATCATTAGTGGTGGCTTTTACTTGAAGAACAGAAGGGCGCCGTTTTCCCACGAGTCACACTAGGTTCTTGATCTGTGCCTTTTATAGACCAGTTTTCCTTTGCAGACTATGTGTTGGGGTTTTTTTTGCTGCAGGTGGCTGGGATACCTGGGTCTGCTCCTGTTCCATGTCCTGATTTGTTTGCTGGTGCTCTTTGGGCTCATAAGGAACTCCAGGGCCATTCTTGTGGGGTAAGTCCTGACCCAGGCTCAGTGCATAAAGGAAGGCCAGCTGAATGCAAGTGCCTGCTAGTTTAAACCTCTAGACTTGTCAGTTGATTTCAAGGACTTCTGAGACTGAACAGCTTAAATTTGCCACTCAGTATAGAGAGACTTTGTAGAGCCTAGCTCTGTGGATAGGATTAGGGCTACATGAGAGATGTTCACAGGAAGGTTCTTGAGCTATAAAATGTAATGGTACTGGTGTCCATTGCTTTTGCATCAAAGACAAGCAACTCATCTGGGTGGTCTGCCTTTTGCTGGGTAGCATTGGTAGCCTCTATATGCTGGGAGATAGCAATGTGAACATCCTCCCTTAAATTTACAGGCCTTAAAAATCTCTTTAATTCTCTACAGCTGTGAAGGCATTTGTTAATTGATGATAAGCATTGCATGTGTCTTCACAGCCTGGTAGTGTGCCTTTTGTGTCACGATCTGCTCTTGTTTACCTTTGGCTGTCACACCTGAAGAAGTGTTAAACTGAGAACAAGCAATGGTTTGTACAGTTATGAGGAGGAGTCTTGTTGCCATGGTACTGCAATATTAATGCATGCCTATTTCTAAAAAGCACTGCAAATGCTGCCATGCTCAGGCCCCATTACAAGAAAAAAAATATTCCTCTCCCTATCTTATAGCTTGGTTTAGTTTGGCATATTTGGCAAAGATACTGTTATCGTAAATATAGTGACAGTTCGACAACTGACATGGCCAAGAGTTTATCCTGGTACATGGTGATGCCATTAATAATTGGAATGCATATTCAGTTTGATTATTTGCCAGATGACTTCATACCTGGCAGGTTATACAGACAAAGGTCCAAGTGTATGCACAGATGGTAAACCCAGGGTTTAAATTAGAATCTCATTCCCTGTTAGCCAGAAGTTCATATTAAGGCATTCCCCAAAGGGAGCACATGGCATAAAGAAGCATATCACAGCTAAGCAAGATGGTGAAATGCCAGTTTTAGATCTTTTAGCCAAGCAATCAGTTACTGACCCAGTTGTCTTCATTTAAAGTAAAACAACAAATGTGTCTTATTGAACTGATTACCACGCTCAGCTGGAGGCACCAAGCCGTGTTGTCCTTATGTCATAAAACCACAGAACCTTGCTGATCCATGGCTGATAACTTTTGCATCCATTTGGAAAAAGTGTAATAAATTTTTCAGCCATCTTATTTCAGAGTGCTGCACAGAGGTCAGTCTGGTGAAGCTCCATTACTTCTGCAAGATGAGCCACAGATCCATTCAGAGAATGGGGATTACTCTGAAAATAAGTTGGCAAACTGAGGGATGGATCTCTTTTGTTTGTTTTTGTTTTGCAATGTAGGCCCACAGACTGTTTTTTTTTTTTTTTTTTTTAAAGCTCCAGTCTTCAATGAGACAAATGTAGTAGGAAAGAGATATGTCCTTTCCTCAGAGATGCTTGCACTAGGTTTGAATAAAGAATATCTTGGTTATGGACAGGTTTTTGGTTTGTATTCTTCAAGGGGTGGGCAGGAGAAACCTAGTTGTGTTCAAAGCCTGAAGGAAAAAGCATCCCTGAGAGAGCAAGCTAGTGTCCCTTTACTTTGAAGACAGGGATACATAAAATGAAACTGCTTATTAGTCTGCATCCCCATACCTGAGGGAGTTCAGGAGCACTTATGCCTGCATATCTCTAGTACTCATACTGACAGCAAAGGTGAAGAGCTAATGTGCTAGTTGGGGAAGTGCAAAAGCCTTTTCCACCGGTGTGTGCTAGCTGAATGTCACTGAGACCACTGCTCTGTCATCCCTCTGCCTTGTGTCTGCTTGATAGCAGATGCTTCCCACTATTTCTGTTGGTAATGAGGTCCAGCTATCAGAACAAAACTCTTAAATCTGTGCAGAGATGGACTCACATGGCAGTGGTGTGCACCTAAACTGTTGCTCTGAACTGTTTGCTTGCAGGTGACTATCTCTCTTCTGGGGCTATGTGGGATGCTTAGGTGCCATTCAGATGCACACAGCTTGGAACCAAAGTCAGGTGTCCACCCACCTGTAGCCATGCAGTGCTTACACCTGACAACCTCACTTATTCTAGAAACAAGAGGGATTTGTCTAATTTTGGATCAGAATATTTTTGTGGGGTTTTTGATATGGCATATTTTTCTCTGAGTATCTTTGGACTGGGAAGGTAGAGTCCAGAATGGGAACAGGGGAAGTGATGGGACTGTAGTTATCCCTCTCTCAATCTGCCTTCCCTACAGCCACCCCTTTGTCTTTGTGCCTTTGGCTTCCCCGCTAGAAGCGGGGTAAGACTTTGCTACCACCCTCTTCTTCCTTCCCCTGCAGCCCCAGGGCCAGGTAACATGTCAACCAACTACTGGACATAAACTTCGCTGGCTGCTGCTATCCACGATACATAAAAAGGGTTGGTTTATCTGAAGATACAGTGGTTGATAATTTCTTGGGTTTGGTAATTGCTTTGGACTCAAAATAATACATTTTTGTGAAAGGATCTGCTTGAAATTGGAGCTTCTACATCTGCCATCTGTCTGTCTCCCACAGGGTGTGCTTGCTTGGGGTGTTTGCCCTGATTGTCAGCTGGGGATCCTTGGGTCTGGAGTTGGCTGTCGCTGTGGTAAGTGGCTCTGATCCAGGTCCCATTCACCCTCTGCAGGTTTATCAGACGAGATTAATGTTACGCTGTTGCCTGTTTTATAGCGCATCTTGTTCTAAGTAGCTGTCCTAGCAGTTTGCATCTATGAAAAGTACAGAGCTCCTCCTTCCTCCGTGGTGTGGTGTGCTAGCTAGTGCTGCTGCGGTTCTGTAAAGCAGCGCTAGTGGGGATGACGATGAGAGACTTCAGCATCTGAAACACCCTAATAGTAGAGGGTTCCCTGATGTTAACCTGGCTCAACTGCTCTTTGATACTGCTGTTCTTTGATATTCTTTTTCCCTTTTGTCTTTTATCTATCTAGGGCTCCAGTGACTTCTGTATTAACCCCGATGCTTATGTCTCCAAAGTGGTTGAAGAGAATGCAGTGCTTAGTGCTGGTAAGTGCTGGGACTGGCTTTGGCATGGGGTACTGCGGATCCAGCTGTCTCACAGGAGCATGGCAGTGACTGAGAATTTAAGGCTGTGTTTGGTACAGAGGAGCTTGCATACAGTAGGAAAAGCATATGTGCATGGAGCTCTGGAAAACCCTTGTTCTTCCCAAAGAAGCATTTATACTCTGGTCAGAAGTGCACATGTATGGTTTTCTTTGTCAGAATAGCCTTCAGAACCTTTCTTCTGTCTTGGGCCTTAGGTGGAAGTAACTGATAAGATGGAACAACTGAAGTCCCTGGATTATTTTGCTTTAAATGTAGCACTCTTGAATCTTGTTCTCCTCTCTAAGTGACAGAACAGTGGCAATGGCAGTGTGCAGTTTGAGTTGTAATTCTTAAAACTTGCTCTTGGGTCTGTATTCCTGAATCTACAATATTCTTTTTGTATCTGCTATCAACAAAGACACATTTTTTTTTCTCTTGTTCTCCTCTCTAAGTGACAGAACAGTGGCAATGGCAGTGTGCAGTTTGAGTTGTAATTCTTAAAACTTGCTCTTGGGTCTGTATTCCTGAATCTACAATATTCTTTTTGTATCTGCTATCAACAAAGACACATTTTTTTTTTCTCTTAATGGTGGCCATAAGTTAGGAGTCTATTTAAAGCTAATTAGACAGGGATACATAAAATGAAACTGCTTATTAGTCTGCATCCCCATACCTGAGGGAGTTCAGGAGCACTTATGCCTGCATATCTCTAGTACTCATACTGACAGCAAAGGTGAAGAGCTAATGTGCTAGTTGGGGAAGTGCAAAAGCCTTTTCCACCGGTGTGTGCTAGCTGAATGTCACTGAGACCACTGCTCTGTCATCCCTCTGCCTTGTGTCTGCTTGATAGCAGATGCTTCCCACTATTTCTGTTGGTAATGAGGTCCAGCTATCAGAACAAAACTCTTAAATCTGTGCAGAGATGGACTCACATGGCAGTGGTGTGCACCTAAACTGTTGCTCTGAACTGTTTGCTTGCAGGTGACTATCTCTCTTCTGGGGCTATGTGGGATGCTTAGGTGCCATTCAGATGCACACAGCTTGGAACCAAAGTCAGGTGTCCACCCACCTGTAGCCATGCAGTGCTTACACCTGACAACCTCACTTATTCTAGAAACAAGAGGGATTTGTCTAATTTTGGATCAGAATATTTTTGTGGGGTTTTTGATATGGCATATTTTTCTCTGAGTATCTTTGGACTGGGAAGGTAGAATCCAGAATGGGAACAGGGGAAGTGATGGGACTGTAGTTATCCCTCTCTCAATCTGCCTTCCCTACAGCCACCCCTTTGTCTTTGTGCCTTTGGCTTCCCCGCTAGAAGCAGGGTAAGACTTTGCTACCACCCTCTTCTTCCTTCCCCTGCAGCCCCAGGGCCAGGTAACATGTCAACCAACTACTGGACATAAACTTCGCTGGCTGCTGCTATCCACGATACATAAAAAGGGTTGGTTTATCTGAAGATACAGTGGTTGATAATTTCTTGGGTTTGGTAATTGCTTTGGACTCAAAATAATACATTTTTGTGAAAGGATCTGCTTGAAATTGGAGCTTCTACATCTGCCATCTGTCTGTCTCCCACAGGGTGTGCTTGCTTGGGGTGTTTGCCCTGATTGTCAGCTGGGGATCCTTGGGTCTGGAGTTGGCTGTCGCTGTGGTAAGTGGCTCTGATCCAGGTCCCATTCACCCTCTGCAGGTTTATCAGACGAGATTAATGTTACGCTGTTGCCTGTTTTATAGCGCATCTTGTTCTAAGTAGCTGTCCTAGCAGTTTGCATCTATGAAAAGTACAGAGCTCCTCCTTCCTCCGTGGTGTGGTGTGCTAGCTAGTGCTGCTGCGGTTCTGTAAAGCAGCGCTAGTGGGGATGACGATGAGAGACTTCAGCATCTGAAACACCCTAATAGTAGAGGGTTCCCTGATGTTAACCTGGCTCAACTGCTCTTTGATACTGCTGTTCTTTGATATTCTTTTTCCCTTTTGTCTTTTATCTATCTAGGGCTCCAGTGACTTCTGTATTAACCCCGATGCTTATGTCTCCAAAGTGGTTGAAGAGAATGCAGTGCTTAGTGCTGGTAAGTGCTGGGACTGGCTTTGGCATGGGGTACTGCGGATCCAGCTGTCTCACAGGAGCATGGCAGTGACTGAGAATTTAAGGCTGTGTTTGGAACAGAGGAGCTTGCATACAGTAGGAAAAGCATATGTGCATGGAGCTCTGGAAAACCCTTGTTCTTCCCAAAGAAGCATTTATACTCTGGTCAGAAGTGCACATGTATGGTTTTCTTTGTCAGAATAGCCTTCAGAACCTTTCTTCTGTCTTGGGCCTTAGGTGGAAGTAACTGATAAGATGGAACAACTGAAGTCCCTGGATTATTTTGCTTTAAATGTAGCACTCTTGAATCTTGTTCTCCTCTCTAAGTGACAGAACAGTGGCAATGGCAGTGTGCAGTTTGAGTTGTAATTCTTAAAACTTGCTCTTGGGTCTGTATTCCTGAATCTACCATATTCTTTTTGTATTTCCCTTTAATCACTACTTTCAGTTGTTCTTAAATATAATGCGTTGTAATATTCCGAGCCCTGTGCTCTGGCATTCAGACTAGGACTGAGTTAAAGCTAATTTAAAGGGTAAATGAATGGGAACAGCCACAAAGAGAAGTATGAATTTCCCTTTCCATTATAAATGCAGTATTTTGACTGCTTTGTTTATCCTGTTCCATTTAAAGCAATATGCCTGTGTCACAGTGGCATCCAGCTGGAGCACTGATGAATTTTGGGTTTGTTGCTCCTAATTTAGGGTGAAGTGGTTGGTGAGATGAGGGGTGCCTTCAATTTGGACCTCCAGGGGGCAAAAGTAGTTCAGAACTGTGGCTTAACAAAAAAGTGGTTGGGCGCCTGCCAGCAGAGATACTGTAAGTGCTAAAAAGGAAAAGTATTTTTCAGGACTGAGCTTGCTTCTTAGATAACAAAGTTAACTTTTCTTTTCTCCTACCTTCTCTCCCCTGATAGTTCCTCTATATAGTTCTATGTATGATAAAACACAAACAAGCAATGACACCAATCTACAAAAAGAGCCACTTGTGGTTTTCCTGGTTTTTATTTAGCAGAACCAGAGAATCTTTGCCTTGTGTACCGAAGGTCTAGTGTATGGCCATGCGCTTAGCCAAATGCTGCCTCTTGCTGTGCAACCGGTAGGGAATTAGGTATGTAGCTATGGCTGAGGATGCAGGGATTGGAAGCAATAAGAAATGTTTATGTCTGGAGGCAGAATGTAGTATAAAAGAGTATGTACAGGTTGATATTACCACCCTACAGCTTATTTTTGGAATGCCTTATTTATTGATTTCTTGGGAAGGAGAGGATAGAGCCAGGCAGCTCAATACAGAAGGGTCTTTGTAACAAAGAAATGCAATAAGGGAAGAGAATGAGTGTTTAACACTGCACAAGATGAAAATCCTCTCTTGGCTGTGAAGGTGACAAAGATGTGGCTTCAGGTACCAATCTAGTCTCCTAGTTGTTCAAGGAGACAAATGGGTCAGTGAGGCCAAGGGGAAATATCTATGCTAATAGATGCTAATGCCAGCTGTGCTTGTAATAATTTGGTAACCCAAATCAGCTCTGGAGCATGTTTGGTAACAATTAGATTGACCCTGGGAAACCGAAGAAATGCCCCTTTGTGCTACTTCTCCATTTCAGTCGTCCTTGTCTGCTTGGCTCCTGCAGTTTTTCGTTAATCGGTATCATTCATTTGGACGCTAATGGTGAGTGCAGGACTGACATTCCTGTCCCTCCTCCTGCTTCCCCCGGCAGGGACAGTCGACTCCCCCGGGTGAAATCAGGCTCTGTTCTGGCAGCACTGTCAGTTACAACAACTGTTAAGGCTTCATAAATAACAGTGAATGGATCTAAGCGAAACGCTGAAGAGGAGGAAGAGCAGGTGTTGTCACAGGCTTGAGTTGGAAGGGTGGCCCTTTCCGTGGGTTGCTGGTGTGTCAGCTCCCTGCTGTTAGGCAGCCGTTGAGCATTCGTGAGCGCCTTTTCCTTTTTTCAGAAGGAAATCAGTCTAACATCTGAGCCTGCCATCGCACTAGGCAGCTGGTTGGGAGATGATCGAATGTTCTACCTTCCCATGTGGATTTTCACTGCTGTGTCATAGTTTATGATCAGGAAGCTACATAAATAGCTCTTGGTCCCCAATGACCGTCCTGTGCAGCTGAGCAGGAAGGAAAATCACAACACGAGGACTGCAGTGTGGCACTGCTCAATGACACTTTAATCCCAATAATAGCTCCTTAGAAACATCTTTAAAAGTCTGAAGTAAGTGTTGGTATCCCTTAATATGCTTGGCTGTAAATTGTAGCAGCTACTTTGTGGTCAGTTGAGCCATTTATACAACAAGAGTGACGAGCTCAAGGAGACAGGGCAGGCAGCTGGGAGCCAGCATGGATGCTGTCCTCTCGGAGGAAGCTGCCCTGTTTGAAGGCTCCCAGTGCACGGACTCTTCACACTCTCTGGTTTGTGGCCTCTGCTTTGTGGGTGGTGCTTTCCAACTCATGTTTTCAGTCTTGCCTAGGTGTCTGCTTTTGGCTGGTGCTGGGCTAGGTGCTGCCATCTAATTTTAAGGGTATAAGAACCAACAAGTAATCTTAAGCTTTAGTGCTGGGTCAATTTTTTCCCTTTAATCACTCCTTTCAGTTGTTCTTAAATATAATGCGTTGTGATATTCCGAGCCCTGTGCTCTGGCATTCAGACTAGGACTGAGTCATCTAGGTTTGCATATTTGTAATGCTTTTTTGTTCATGGTGGTTATAGTAGTTTGCACAGAAAAATAACTGTGTTGGATACTGGGCAACTAGTATGTTAATATTCCTGTTTGTGTATTAATTGCTGTTTGCAAATCTAAATAGAATTAATGGAGCTGAGAATAATCTGATTAAGTGCGTTATTATTGTTGTCATGTTTTTAGCTGGAGACATGTCCTTGTTTTGTAGATAAAATGCGCTGCATTAAAAAAAGGAGGGGGAATGGGGGGCAAAGAGCCTTAATGCAGGTTTCCTGGAGAAGGAGAGACTTAAATCATTTTGCAGAAGGGGCTGATATATGTGCCTAACTCGCTCAGTATTCATTAATTGAGATAAAGCCAATGGAGTTGAACAGTGGCTGTATAATCAGCTCCTGCTGCTAGTAAAAAGACTCAGTGCAGCCAAGATGTTTATTTTCAATGCAGGAGGCCATCTTCTAGTCTCTTCTTTTTCATTGATATTATGTTATTACGAGATGACTTACTGCATGAAATTAAATAAAAAGGCACAATCTGTCTAAACAACAGGAAAAGGTTTCTCCAGGTTCTCTTACTAGAAATCTGCATGGCGAACAGCCACTGCCTTCGTCTGAAGGAACTGTAAACCTCAGGGGATGGATAATGGAGCCTTTTAGCTCTGGTCCAGCCAAGCTGGTCAGGCTGGATGCTGAAACTTAGCTGCTCAGATATAAGCAGCAAGCGTTCTTGTCACGGGCGGCCTCCTAATTGGCCTCTCACTGATTCACTCTCATCTTAGAAGCTCAGAGCTGAATTAACCAGAGGACTGACACCACCACCACCTCCCTTTCCTCTCTAGAAGTAAGGTCAGGACAAAACCTCATGTGGGGCATGTGGTGGTTGCACAGTTATTACATGGGCTCAGTGGGCCCTGCAGAAAAGAGTTTGCCCAAAGAAATGCTCTCAGGAATCTTGCTGAGCTGATGTCGGTGTTGAGAAGCTGTGTTTTGCTGTGTGGTTTTGTCGGACTCCTGATAGCAGAAAGCTTTGAGTGTAGGGTGTGTGGGATGGCTACGAGCTCTTTGCTGAAGGCATGCAATGACTGATTTCACCAGTATGAGTGGCATATGTGAGAGTAATATAAATGTTATGCAGATACTTCCCTTTGCTGTCAGACTGTTGCCTTAGGGAAACAAAACTCCTGGTGGAGAACATGTTACCTGGGCAAGAAAATCTGTCCAGAAGAGTCGTCTTTTTTCGACATCGCAGGCTATATACTTCAACTTTTTCTGATGATTGAACCCCCAGAGACAGTCTCATCTGGGTGTATACGTAAAATGCAAGCTGCTTAGAGAATGCTCAAGTAGAGATGAAGGAGGACTGGGAAAAGCTGTTCTAGGTGTGAGGATTTTTTTAACTAGGTTCTCTTTTCTTCTGATTGCTCTTTACCCTACAGACCTTCTCATTGCCTTTTGGCGGGTGCATAATGCCTTTTTTTGCATTTCGGCTGGGCTTTGAAGTGAATAGTAAATCTCCATGGTTGCAGAAGCACTAAGTAGTTCTAGCAGCTGAAGCTGTCTTTAGTAGGCAGTTCTACTTTCCTTTCTAGGAAAAACAGACTCTGCAAAAATAAAGCATTTTGGGTAGTTCCCCTCCTTGCCTTCTGCTCCCACACTGCCTGTGCACCAAGAGAGCGCGTCGGGAGGATTGCTGCTAGCAACAGCAGGCAGAGGCAGCTGCAGTTGTGGCCCTGCCTAACCCTTCTCCTATAAACTAGATTGCCTAAAGGCCAGCTTCAAAAATCAGATCCAACCTTCAGGAATTCTCCTTGAGAGGAAAATGCATCGGAAAGATAATTATAGAAAGAAATTGCCTGGAGCTGTTAGCAGAGTGCAAGTGATGGCTTAGTATAGCTGTTTTCTGGACAGAAATTTGAGATTTGGTGTTGTACAGGATAGCCTTCACCGGATTTAAAACTGGTGAAGGTGCCTCCTGCTCTTTCGTCTTTCCCAGCCTGGTGGTATAGAGGCAGGGGTCATGCTCCTCTTAACTTCCAGGCTTTGCAGCACAGGATCACTTTAAAGCAACTTCACTGCCTATTGTAGCTTTAGCTTTAAAGCACCACAGCTATTGGCACACTGGGTTCAGTGCAAGGGAAGGCTGCTCCCGCTGGCTTTGCCATTTTGGAAAGCACGTTTTATATACAGAGTGTCACACTTGTCAGCTGCAAAGCCAGCACTACCACAGTGAAGCCTTGTTGATCCTGCCTTCCAGGGTGAAGCAAGGGAAGCACTTATTTCACTGTACTGCTTTTTGCTTCACTTGTAAACAGCAATCTTTATCCTGGGCTTACAAGCTGCAAACTATGATGATATCAGGAACTCTCATCTGTCATCTGCCCACCAGGGATGATCCAGAAGGCCCTGAAGAAACATTTCTGGAGCTGTGTATTAGTGGTATGTCATGCAACTTAATGCACCTACAAAAGCGATGCAAACTTGATACCACTGTGGGAGTCTAAGAGAAACTTTTAGTCATTTGTTGGTTTAAAATAAACAGGTGACAAGATCACAGCTCCTTTAGGTCACTGTGTGTGATGCTGTGGATTGCAGTTGCTATGCTGTTCTCTCAGCGCATGTGCGTTTTCATCCATTTTTCTGTAGCCACTGAGTGATTTATGAGCCTGGGAGGAGCAGTCCTTTCCTCGGCTCAGTAGTTGTGGACAGTTGTTTTTGTGGTCTGCCCAAAGTAAGGCACACAAAGCACTTCTTGCTGCCCTCCTATCTGCCCAGATTTTGCTAATTGCTGTTTAGAGGCTTGGCTGGGGAGATGTAAGTCATCCCAGAGAAAGAGTTGGGGGGGGGGAGCAGCTGGCAGAAGCTGCCCCAAAGTAGGCTAATGAATTATAAATAACAGCTGTCAGGTTGCATTGCCGGTGTGCGGGAGTTGACAGTCTGTGTTGTACCACTTGGTCTCCAGAGCATTGGCTTGCCAAAAGGTGCATTCAATATTTATGGGAAGCGCGGCAGAGTCAGGATACAGTCAGGTCTGCTTCCTTCACAGCTCCGCTCGCTTGTGGTTGTGCGTTTTATCGATTTCTGCGTTGGGACTGATTAGAATACCTTTGCAGTCTGGAATATGCGTTACTGAAAATCACAGACAGAAGATTAAAAGGAATGGAGGAAAGGATGCTAGTGGGGAGGGAAATGCAGAGTGTATGTGTGTTTTGGGGCTTTTGTTGTCTTTACCGAGCCAACTTCACCCTTGATTATGCTGAGCTGACGCACTCCCATTCATCTGAAGAGGAACTGTAAATGTTTGAGAAATAATCTAAAGGTATTTGGATGATTGAGTCTTTCAGAGCTCCCTCCCTCGACAGCATTATTGAGAATGGCAGGGGAAAGCCCGACATTTGTAACTTGCGCGTGCTGGCAGTTGGTGTAGCATTATGGAGGGCTTGTGAGGGCACCAGGCTGGTTTCATACACATCTGAATAAGGAGAAATAAAACTGTGTCTTCAAGCCCGGAAATGGGTGATGCTGCTAGCAGAGCACTGTAACAGTCTTATCTGGAAGTTTCCGAGTACATCTTCACTGTACTGTGATCACTGATAGAGCTGCTCGGTATTAAGACTAACTTTTGGGATGTTATCAGCAAATGATCTGAGGTCCCTTGAACAGATAACGTGTTGCTGGTGTCCTAATACATGGTAAGAGCTTTCTTTCCTGATCAAGTCTGTAGTATTGACTCAATGCCAAAACCAACTTTTTTTGCATAAGTCGAAAGAAGGATGCAAAACAAATGACATACACTCTTTTAGTTAAAGTCTAATTAAAGCATCTTATTAAAATCTAATTGTGTGCAAGTGACAGCCATCAGAAAACATACTATTTACTTGTTCATCTCCAGTACATGTCAGAAAGACAAGAACTTGTTGTTTTCCATCCATTTCCTCACTTGTTTTCAAAGTGATACCATTTTTAGGAAATATTACTGAAAGTTAGGATTTTCTTGAATGAAGAGGGCTTTCTTATCTTCTACAGAACACTGCCTACAACCAGTCTCTCCTTGAATAGAAGAAACCCCAGTTGTGAAGAGGTCTTTTTTTCCTCTTTTTTTTTTTTTTTTTTAACACTTGAACTTGTGCGCTTAGGAAGTGGTACATTCAGCTTTGTGTAGTAGCATAGGGATGTTTATTTGCACTGTCTTTGGCCCAGTGGTGTGGTTCCACAGGTATTTCTGATAGTAGCCTGTATCTAGTCACCACTATTACCTCTCCTGCGCTAATGTTTTGTGGCTGATGAACTGAATTGTCTGAAAGTTAAGTTGTCTCTGCTGTGTGCCCTAGGCAGCAGTCTGTACCTCTGGTTGCTTCCAGTGACCGTAGAATGGTATTGTGACACTTGGAAGCTGCAGAAATTAAACATCCAGCTGGATGACTTGTAGGCTAAGGTCTTGTCTTATGGTTATCCTATGGATAGTGCTGACTTCTGAATAAAACTTTTTTGATGGTTCACCTAACTATAGAAGTGCGGCAGCCCCATGGCTTTTGCTGTTCAAAAAAAAAAACCCACACAAAACCCCCAAAACCCCCCAAAACCAAAAAAACAACCCCCACCAAAACAACCAAATCTTTCTTTTCTCCCCAAAGGCAGGTTACATCCCTTTCTCTAGTGCCATCCATGCACTGTAATCCTACAAGGAGACAGGGAAATATTTCCATTTACATTGCATTTTCATTTTGTGTATTGTTTTTCAGAACTTAACACCTCCCTTGTGGCAGTTGTAAAATACTCCAAAGCTGGAACAGTGTATCTAGCATGACTTTATTTTCTTTTGTCGTTGTAGATACTCTCCGATATTACATTACCTGTAGTGCTGGATACCCCAACCCTTTCCAGCAGGTGAGTGTAAGCATCCTAGCTCCCTTCACCCCTTCTCAGCATCCTGCAGGGTATAAGTTAAAGGCTTTTGATGCCAGCATGCAGCACGTTGCAAGGTGCTAGCTTTAGAGCACTCCACCTGTTGGTAAAGCTTTGGTAGCTACTTTCCAGCTGTGCAAGAGGTGGCAATGTGATTTAGTGCGCAGCTTTTTCCACCTTCGTCACTACTGCATAGCTTCAGGTCCAGGATGCCCTCTTAGAGGGGCCCATGCGTGATGTGGTGAGGACCATGGCTTTGTTCACGGTACCTCTGTTTACACAGCACTCTTCTAAAGGCAGCAACACGGAGACAGAGCACCCACAATTAATGCCAGGGTGGGAAACTACATACTTACTGCTTTGAATCTCTTCTTGCAGGATATTTTGGGTTAAACAGTGGCAACACTCCACTCCCAAAATGCAGCCATTTCTGTGGGTGAGGGAGTGATTCTCACATACGCCTCTTAATTCCCTTAGATGTTGAAGGGTTTGTATCCTGAACTATAAATGTGAGTCACTATTCTTTTGTGTGGGGGCTGAGGAACAGCACCTGGGCCCATCCCAAACTTTGTCTTATGTATCAGAGGCCAGAATGAACCCACACCACCCACCATTTGGCAGACACCAGCTGCTTCACCATTTATATTTAGGATTTTTTAAGTCTTGTCTTCCTCTGTTTTAAAGGGTGGGGTAAGAACTCTTCAAGCTGTGGTATGATGCACCGTTGCCATCTGTTGCGTTTCTGGTTGCTCAGTATACTCTCTGACATGCTATTGCATGTGAAATCCCCATGGATGCTTTAATGGGATGCGAAAGCTGCCCCCCAATACAAACAACTTCTAGTGTTAACATAAGTCTTTCTCAGCCATCTGATTTAGTAGGAAAAATCCAGCTGTGGTCTGTGGTAAGAACATGAGTGCTTTGTGTCTTTTCTTTCTCTTTCCCCTCTGTCCTGGAGCCCGCCCCAGCTGTGTGTATGGTTTTTGTGTGTGTGTATGTGTTTTGGTTGGTTTGGGGTGGGGTTTGCTTTTTTCTTCTTCTTCCTGTCCCCTCTTCTTTCTATCTGTGCTTCTTCAAGGTTGGTAAAAGTCAAACTTGACCCTATCACAGCTGCACTCATGTCAGTTGAGACATCCTTAACTTGTACCATTCATACAGATGATGGTTCAGTATCTGGGAACAGGATTTAAGTCTTATTTCTCAGGAGTTCTGTTGGTTCATGTGGCTTGAATTGCTGACCATTGCATGTTTTGTGTTGAGCAGAAGCTGTCAGGAAGTCACAAGGCTCTGGTGGAAATGCAGGATGATGTTACAGAACTCATGAGGTCAGCAAGCAGAGAGCACCCCACCTCCAAGGTAACTGTCCTCAAGTTTGCTCTCCCTGTGCTTTCTGGCTTCCCTTACCCCTATACAAAGCCCAAGATCAGCTTCTGCTAAGAAATTTCCTTGCTGTAATCACTAGCTTGTTGCTTACAGGAGTATCTTGCTCGGATCCAGGAGGTTTTAAATTCAACAGAGATCAACTTGCAGCAACTGACAGCTTTAGTAGACTGTCGGAGTCTGCATTTGGTGAGTACTTGGTAACTGGGCTTGAGCTAAGAAAGAACAAAGAGGGTGTAGAGCCCCTAGCGTACTGATTATTTTGGAGTTTCAGATCTGTGGTGTGCCAAAACAGTTTACAACAGCTTTTACTGATTGACTCCAGCAGAAAGGAGAATGGGAATTTGGATCAAGTTAGCTTTCTGTTTAAAGATCAACATAGGAAACTAGATAACACGCCTCTATACATCTACAAGCTGCAGCCCTAAGGTTTCAGGGGCCTTCAGGTTTTTTTGTTTTTTTCTATAGCACGTAGCTTGTTGCCTTTCCCATGGAGTGGAATGCCTTACAGCTGTGGTGCAGCATGGCCTAACTGTTGCCCTAGCTGCATCTCTGAAGGCACAGAAACAGATAGTCCATGCTTGTGTTCTTGGGCAATGGGACACAGTGAGGGAGCTGAGAGGCTTAATGAAAAATGTGGTACCTTAAATTGGGTGGATAAGTTTGTCTTGACTTTTTTCTTTTTTTTTTTTTTCCCCCCTTTTAAACTCTTACTGTGTGGGGTTGAAAATATTCCCACATCTGTCTGAGTTAGGCTTTATGAGGAGAAATAAGGGTTAAGATCAGTTATGAAAAACACTTGAGGTCCCCAGAATTAAAATAAAAGTATGATCTGGAAAAGGGACTACAATCTTGTAAGTTGTTTCAGGGAATGTAGTCCAGGGGAAGGGCTTTTGAAGTAGAGCTGAATGTTAACTCTCTAGTGACCAGAAAACTCTGCTCATTTCTCTCCAGGATTACGTCCAGGCTTTGACGGGCTTTTGCTATGATGGAGTGGAAGGCCTCATCTACCTGGTTCTCTTCTCCTTCGTCACAGCCCTCATGTTCAGTTCTATTGTGTGCAGCGTCCCACACACTTGGCAGCAAAAGAGGTATAGAGAGGGTTTAGATCCTGCAGAGTTCTTTCCTAATGAAGACTGGCTATTGGATTTGTGCCTGTGAGCATATGGAGCTCTTTCCCATATAATCTCAGGAGCGTGAGGGATGAGGCTTTATAAGCACAGGTCCAACAGAAAAAAAAAAAATACTGGCTTTTGCTCTGGCTGTGGTTAATACTTACGTCTGAACCTTATTGCACTGAGATACTACGTGTGCAGAGTATTCAGTACACTGTAGGACTATCAGTCAAGTCAGAGATGAATGATTATAGCTGTAGAGAGAGGTAATGCCTGAACTATGTGCTATCTCTAAAGTACCTATTCTCTTGCATTGCTTTGAGGCATTTGTTCTAGTATGGGGAAGAGAATTGGAATGAGAAGCAGTTCATACTTGCCTTTCTTGGCTTTGCTCATGCTGGGGCGACTGACTTGCATAGCTAATAGAAACCGGGAACCATCTTGCTGGCCGTAGCATGGGCAGATGAGGTACTTGCAAACTGGTGGCAATCATCTAACAGCAGAGTTGTTTCACACTAGTGTAACCAGGCTGACCAGTAAGTCTTGAGCAAACCTTTGCTCCTCTGTCTGGCTGCTTCACCACATGTACCTATTAAAATGGCTTTGAGTTTCTGTTCTTGCAGAAGAGCAGTATACTCTGCAGCAAATTCTCTTCTGTGGTCCTGAAAGGTGATTTTTGTGGTCTAAGCCCAGGCTCAAGGTTCAAATTAAAATGGAACATCCGGAACAATAGCAGGATGCCAGAGCCCGCCAGGCCTGCAGTGCCCACAGAGAAAGCTTGGCAAATGCGTGAGAATAGCACTTAAGAAAATGTCTGGTTTCCTTACCTCTTCCACATGCAGCTGCAGAGGCGTAATCAAGAGAAGGGTAGTCTGTCCATTTGAAAGAGAAAGGTTTACACAGTGTAATCTCTTGTGCTGCCTTCCATGTGGGCTGCTGCCTGCTCCGCCAACCCCAGCAGGCTCAGGCTGCTGCTGTGAACTGAAGGATTCCCTCAAGGATTCCCTCTTGCATTCCCTGGAGCACCGTTTCTTCCTCTGCCTCCCTCCGGGAGGTGAAGGATGTCATACTTACTGCCTGTAAGAGACTGTGCAGGCTGCAATTCCCTGAAAAAATCTTCAGTGCCACCTTGTGGTACAGAAGCTGCAGGTGATGATTGGGGTGTTCTAGCGATGTCTGTGCTGTCTTCCCCAGCAACAGAGTGCTTCCTGTAGAACCTCTTACTAGCTTTGTCAAGCGTCACTAAAATACATTTAAAACCTTGGTGCTTCATCCCATAATTAGGGAGATAAGATAGCAGTGTATATCATATAGGAGGGACAAGAGAATACTATGGGAAGGGGGGAAGGAACCGGCTGGCAAACAGCTCTGTTCTGCATTAAAACTGATGTAAAACCCTAGCATTTTTGAGAGAATAAAGCCTTTAGACACAAATATTGCAACTTAGTCTCTGTAAAGACTTCTGAGATTTTGCTAGAAGCTGAAGCAGACCCTTTGTAACCAGAATGAGAGTTCAGAGAAGTCTACAGAGACTTATCCTTAAAAGTTCTTTGGACATGGTTACAAGAAATGGAAGGACATGGCTACAAGAAATGGAAGGACACAGGTTGCAGTTTTGAAGGATGCTTTCTGTGGGGTGCATGGCACTACATCCCCACTGCCTGCCTTTTTTTTTTTTTTTTTTTTGTGTGTGTGTGTTGTGTATTTCAGGATGTGTGTCCATCCTTCGGTTGTATGACTGGGCAGTTGCAGAACTGTGCTGTCTGCCAGGCCCTGAGAGAAGACCGTAGGGAGACTGTAGGGGATCACGCAGTGTAAAAGTCCAGATGGTATCTGTGGGAGGTCTGAGTCACTGTGGTGTAGGCTGTGTTTGACACTGCCACCCTGAGGCATCCCAAATGGGTATAAATGTGGAGGCGTGGAAGATGGTTGGGAGGTTCCTAGGATTACCATGGTTTCCTGCAAACCCCACATGTGGGGTAATTGTAGGGTTCTAGGAGGAACTTTTTCTCCTTCTTGCAGAAGCTCAGATGATGATGGGGAAGAAGAATCAGCTGCTCAAGGGAGTAGACAAACACACGATAATCTTTACAGAGTGCACATGCCCAGCCTCTATAGCTGTGGGAGTAGTTATGGCAGTGAGACCAGCATTCCAGCAGCAGCACACACAGTCAGCAATGCTCCCGTCACAGAGTACATGTGAGTATCCTGACAAGAAGGCTGTATTGTGGCTTGTCCAAATTGCTTCACTCCGATTTCTGTCGTCACTAAGTGCTGCAAGGCTGGCGCTTTTGACCAAGCAGTAGGAAGTGATGAAGGATTTTGTCTGAAGTGTCAAAAGGCATGTTTTCTGATTGGCATCTACTGGGAGAAGGGAACAGCTTAAAAGTGCTGCAGTAGGAAGAGTTGTATTAGACAGCATGCTCCAAAATGTGAACAGCTTTGCCCTGCAGGATTTGAAATCTGTCTAGAGAAAAGAAGTAGGAAAGTATTGTCTGGGCTCCTTATTACGCAATGGTTCTGATCACCAGAAGACTTAATTCTTCAGACAGAGCAGTCTTGCCAGAAGACTTTAAGCCTCCTGAGAGCCAAGACAAAACCTGCAGGCTCTGTCCTTCCACAGTATTTGCAGTCAGGTCTGACATCTGTTGTATTCCAGAGCTACCTAGTTCAGGTGGGATCTTCAGAGCTTTCTCCAGAAGTGCCTAACCCTGATCAAACTTGGACTACCTTCAGGGCCCATCTTTTTTTAGGCTAGTACATCATTTTGTTCTTCCCCTTAGACTTTGTCCTCATTTTATCTCTATTTCTGCAGCTTGGCAGTTCTCATGCTGCAGAGAGGCAGATTTTCACACGAACCTATTTTTAAATCACTTGACATGATTCAGTGTGGGCCCTTCTGAGTAAGAGTGTAAAGATAGTGCTTAATCTGAGGAAAAGAATGCTAGTTTTGTGCCTGTGTCTGAAAAAGGGGATCCACCTGGCCTGTAAGAAAAGCTTTGAGGGAGACTGACCTGATACTGTAGTTCTGGGGGTGCGTGTGCTCTGTCCCATGTCACCATCAGAGACCTTCCCCAGAGAAGCATGGCACATACCCCCTGTTACCATGTGTGTCTTCCTTTCCTAGGAGCCAGAATGCAAATTTCCAGAACCCCCGTTGCGAGAATACCCCGCTCATTGGCCGGGAGTCCCCACCTCCCTCAGTAAGTCTCTCTTTACTGCTCCTCTCTGCTTCAGCAACTTTGGGGAATACACGTTTACCACTCCTGTATACTCTCAAGGGAGCTGATTGTGCAGCCAAACACAGGATCTGGCCCATAAATGGCAGCAATTTGAATAGACAAGCCATGTCTCACCTGCCATGGAGAATAAAACCCTGCTATACTACTTTGGACATTGCACATAAAAAGAGTAAAACTAAATTTATTAACACTATGGGCCCAGTCCTGCCACCACGGAAGTGCATGAGTATCTTGGTGGGTGACTTTCGCAGG